TTTTTTTGTTGCAGCTGTCATTGTTGTTTGGCGGGCCCAGGCTGGATTTGAACCCCCCAGCTCTGGTGTATGTGGCTGGCGCCTTAGCTGCTTGAGCCACAGGCGCCGAGCCCCTAGGCTATTTGTAAAACACATTTCCAGGCCAGGGTTGGTGGCCCGGGCTGTGGCTATTACCTGTAATCCTAGCATTCTGGGAGGCCAATGCGGGTGGATTTCTTAAGCTCACAAGTTAGAGACAAGCCTGAGCAAGAACTAGACTCCATCTTTCCTAAAAATACAAAAACTAGCCAGACATGGTGGTGTATGCCTGTAGTTCCAGCGACTTGGGAGGCTGAGGCCAGAGGATTGCTTGAACTCATGAGTTTGAGCTTACTGTGAGCTATGATGATGCCAGAGCACTCTACTCAGGGCAACAGAGTAAGAGTCTGTCTTAAAAAAACAAACAAAAAACCATATTTCCAGTCCCTGCTCCTGGAAAACTAAATCCAAATGGTTTTTGTGGGATCTGAGATGTTATTTATTTTTAGTTTTTCTCTCCTTAGCACACAACTTGGGACAACATTGAGTCTCATTTTAGCTGTACTGTTAATACTTAGGGCTTTAGGGCCCCTATTATCCCTTTGCACTGAGTCAATAAGTTAATGCAGAATGTAAACTAAAAATCTATAGGAAAGAACTACCCCTATTATAGTGTAATGCAAAGGGTACTGGAGTGAGGGTCAAGCCTTTAACTCCACCATTTACTGGGAACTTCAGCATGTCACATACCCTCCTAGAGCCTTATTCTACTTATTTGTAAAATGAGAATGCATTTGAAAATGCAAAGTACACTAATATATTATTTCATGTTAGTCTTTGATAAATATGCTTTTTGAGATAAAGTATCACTCTGTTGCTCAGGCTAGAGTGCCATGGTGTCATATCTCACGGCAACTTCAAACTCCTGGGTTTAAGCCATCTTCCTGCTTCAGGCTCCCAACTAGCTGAGACTACAGGTACCTGCCATCATGCGCAGCTAATTTTTCTACTTTTAGTAGAGATAGGGTCTTGCTTTTGCTCAGGCTGGTCTCAAAATTCCTGTATTCAAGCAATCCAATTCAGTCTCCCAGAATACTAAGATTATAGGTGTTACCTATGGTGTCTGGCCATATATATCTATATATTTTTTTTCTTTTTTTTATTTTGAGACAGAGTCTCAGTATATTGCCCTTGGTAGAGTGCAGTGGCATCATAGCTCATAGCAACCTCAAAGTCTTTGCCTTAAGCCAGGGGTCCTCAAACTTTTTAAACAGGGGGCCAGTTCACTGTCCCTCAGACCGTTGGAGGGCTGGACTGTGGTTCCCGGGAC